CGCCTGCGTGTGCGGCTCGAGCGTCTTGGAGCGTCGGAAAGCCGGAAAGGCGGAGAAGCAAAACACGTCGAAAAACACTCTGGAAAATCAACAATGTTAGACTTTTTGGGCCCTCTTGGGAGGCTTGTTTGGGACCTCGGGGGCCGTCTTGGAGACCTTTTGGCCCGTCTTGGGGCCATCGTGGGCGTCTTGGAGCGGTCGTTTGGCGTCTCGGAGCCTTCGTGGGCCGTCTTGGAGGCCTCTTGGGGGCTTCTTGGCCCGTCTTGAGGCCCTCTTGGGCCCGGAAAAGCCCTGGAACCGCTCGTCCCGGCCGTGCTGCGCTCGTCCCGGCCCCCTCCCCCCCTCCAAATCGGCCCTCTTGGGCCGTCTTGGGGACCTCTTGGGCCGTCTTGGGGCCGTCTTGGGCCGTCTGGAGGCCGTCTTGGGGGCCTCTTGGGCCATCTTGGGGCTATCTTTGGGGCCTCTTTGGCCGTCTTGGAGCGTCGGGAAGCCGGAAAGGCGGGAAAGCAAGAAACGTCGAAAAACACGCGGGAAAATCAGCAATTTTAGACTCTTTGGGCCCTCTTGGGAGGCTTGTTTGGGACCTCGGAGGCCGTCTTGGAGACCTCTTGGCCCGTCTTGGGGCCATCGTGGGCGTCTTGGACCGGTCGTTTGGCGTCTCGGAGCCTTCGTGGGCCGTCTTGGAGGCCTCTTGGGGGCTTCTTGGCCCGTCTTGAGGCCCTCTTGGGCCCGGAAAAGCCCCGTGAGTCGCTCGTCCCGGACCCCCCCCGCTCGCGCTCGACCCCCCCCCCCCTCCAAATCGACCGGACCGGGCTCCCGGGGGAGGGGTTTGGGGAGGGGGAAGCATCTCACACGCCGATGATCCCCAAGGGGTCGGCGGATATATATATATATATATATATATATATATATATATATATATATATATATATATATATATATATATATATAATATATATATATATATAGATAGATAGATATAGATCGGGGTATCGGGGGCATGGGCCCTCGCCCAGCTGCCCTCGGTCGCCATGGTGGCTTCAGGTCCCCTGGAGAGTCCAGGCCGTGCCGCGAACCTGCCTCGAGAGCCCCAGGACGAGTCCGGAGTGCCCCCACAGGCCCCCAAGACGTCCCCAGAGGCCCCCGAAACGACCAAGGCGAGCCCAAGACGGCCCAAGCGGCCGCCAAGACGCTCCAAGAAGTCTCGAGGGAGAATTGTTAATTTTCCATCGTGTCTTTATACGCGTGTTTTTGGCCGTCTCGCCCTTTCGCCTTCCCGACGCGACGCTCCAAGACGGCCCAAGAGGCCCGCCAGGACACCCAAAGACGGCCCCAGAGGCCCCCGAGACGCTCCCCGGACGGCCAAGGAGACACCCAAGACAGCCCAAGAGGACTACAAGACGGCCCCAAGAGGGGCCCTAGAGGACGACCAAACATTCAAAATTATGTTTTCCGCCCCGAGGAGGCTCCAAGAGGTCCAAAGAGGACCCCAGAAGCCCTCAAGAGTCCCCAAGGAGATCCGAAGAGACCCCAAGAGGCCTCCAAAATATTCCAGTAGACGACAAATGCAGGTCCCCAGAGACCCCCAAGAGACCCCCAAGAGCCCCAATGGAGCCTTCAGGCCAACACAAGCCGAGGAGGCCCTGCCCCACCCGCGCGAGGCCTTTCTTCGCCCCCATGTTCCGGACAAGGCTTTCCCGAACATGGGAAAGGGATCATGCGCCGCCGAGATCGGCGACGACGATCGCGCAAGGTACAGAGGGCAGGGGTCCAGGGTCCAGGGTGCGAGCGAATAGGGCGCAAGAGCGCATGAGAATGATCAGAGGCCCCCCCATGTTCCAGAAGCGCGCTTCCGGAACATGGGGTGGCAGAAGACCCCGCCGCCCTCGTGGCAAGAATCCCTCCACCCTCAGCGCCCAGGCCGTGCCCACAACTAGAACCTGAGCGCGCGCGAAGGTTCTAGTCGGTGTATGTGTGTATGTATGTATGTATGTATGTATGTATGTATGTATGTATGTATGTATGTATGTATGTATGTATGTATGTATGTATGTATGTGTATATATATACATATATATATATATATATATGTACATATGTATATATATACACATATAACGGCGCACCGGGTCCGGGGGCCCGGGGCCGGGACCTCGACCACAAATGTGGGCCCCGGGGGGCCCGGAGGCTCGTCGGGCCGCCGGACGCCGTCCAAGATCGTTCGCAGGCGGCTTCGGAACGCGCTCCGATGGCTCCAGATGCCTTCCAAGACGCCTGTCATGACACCAAGAAGGTCCCAGAAGCCTCCAAGACGCTCCGAGAGGCAGCCCAAGAGAGGCCCAAGAAGCAAAAATCGTACCATTCCTATGGGAAAATGTATATTTTTCGCATGTTCGCCTCTTGGGCTTTCACCGCGTCCAAGACGGCCCAAGAGGCGCCCAAGACGGTCTACGAGGCCTCCGGGAGCGCTCCAAGGCTGCGCACGAGTGGCCCAGGACGGCCCCAAGACTGCCGAAGAGAGCCCCAAGACGAATTCGAGAGGGGTCCCAGACGGAGAAAGCCAACCTCGAATTCCGAGCTTCCGGCCCAAGAGGCTCCAGGAGGCGCCAAAATGCCGCCAAGAGGCGCCAAAAGGCTCCCAAAAGCACCCCAAGACGTTCCGAGAGGCACCCCAAGAGAGGTCCAAGAAACAAAAATCGTGCCATTCCTATGGGAAAACGTATATTTTTCGCATGTTCGCATCTTGGGCTTTCACCGCGTCCAAGACGGCCCAAGAGGCCTCCAAGACGGCCTAGGAGGCCTCCGGGAGCGCTCCAAGGCTGCGCACGAGTGGCTCAGGACGGCCCCAAGACGGCCCAAGAGAACCCCAAGACGATTTCGAGAGGGGTCCCAGAAGGAGAAAGCCACTCTCGAATTCCGAGCTTCCGGCCCAACATATCCCAGGAGGCGCCAAAACGCCGCCCAGAGGCGCCAAAAGGCTTCCAAAATCAGCCCAAGACGTTCCGAGAGGCACCCCAAGAGAGGTCCAAGAAACAAAAATCGTGCCATTCCTATGGGAAAATGTATATTTTTCGCATGTTCGCATCTTGGGCTTTCACCGCGTCCAAGACGGCCCAAGAGGCCTCCAAGACCGCCCCAAGACGGCCCAAGAAGCTTCCAAGAGGGCCCCAGGACAGCCCAAGAGGGCCCCAAGACGGCCCAAGAGGCGCCCAAGATGGCCCAAGAGGGCCCCAAGACGGGCCCAAGAGGGGGCCCAGAGGGGGACCACGAACCGCAAGCTCGAGCCTTCCGCCCCAAGAGGCCGCCAGGAGGCCCCAAGGAGGCCCCTCAAGAGGCCCCAGGAGACCCCCAAGAGGCCCAAAGGAGGCCCCGAGAAGCCCCAAATCGGCCCCCAAATGCTTCGAACCTGCTTCCAGGAGGCCCCCGACAGGTTCAGAGGCTCCCGAGAAGCTACGTCAAACTCCCAGCGAGCGGCCGGACGAGGCCCCCCACAAAATCATTATCCCGGCAAATCAACCTAACAGCGATGTGTAGGAGCATATCTGGAAGCATTCCCCTTAAGATTCAGATGAGAATCCAGTTGTAGAATTCTGCTGTTCTCGCAGTCGTAGTCGCATTCGCGATGACAGTCGCAGTGGCAACGGCAGTCGCAGTCACAGCCTCAGCCTCAGCCTGCCTCAGCCTCAGCCTCAGCCTGCCTCAGCCTCAGCCTCAGCCTCAGCCTGCTTCAGCCTCAGCCTCAGTCTGCCTTCAGCCTCGGCCTCAGCCTCAGCCTGCCTCAGCCTCAGCCTGCATCAGCCTCAGCCTCAGCCTCAGCCTGCCTCAGCATCAGCCTGCCTCAGCCTCAGCCTCAGCCTCAGCCTCTCAGCCTCAGCCTCAGCCAGCCCAGCCTTCTGCCTTCAGCCTCGGCCTCAGCCTCAGCCTGCCTCAGCCTCAGCCTGCCTCAGCCTCAGCCTCAGCCTGCCTCAGCATTCAAAATGTGGCCCGGGAATGGAGTTCTGGGAACTCGAAGAACACGAAGTGGCCTACAGTTGGCTCCGGGCATTCAAAATCATGCCCAGGAATGGAGTTCTGGGAACTCGAAGACACGAAGTGGCCTACAGTTGGCTCCGGGCATCCAAAATGTGGCCCGGGAATGGAGTTCTGGGAACTCGAAGACCACGAAGTGGCCTACAGTTGGCTCCGGGCATCCAAAATGTGGCCCGGGAATGGAGTTCTGGGAAGTCGAAGAGCACGAAGTGGCCTACAGTTGGCTCCGGGCATTCAGAATGTGGCCCGGGAATGGAGTTCTGGGAAATCGAAAAGCACGAAGTGTGTGATTGTATGCGAAAAACGATCCCGGCCGGCAAACCCCAACGGCTCCCCAACGGCTGCCCAGACCCCCCTGTGGAGTAATGTGCTGGACCACTAGAAACCTATCAGTCTTCGCTGTTAGGTAACAAGAGGGTTCCAGTATTTGTATCCTTCAGCGCTCTCTGGCCTTCTTCCCCCTGCCCCCTTCCCTGCGACTTTCGTTGACTCAAGCTCGCCTCCTAGCTAGAACCTAAGCGCGCGCGAAGCGCGCGCGTGGTTCTAGTGTATATATATATATATATATATATATATATATACCAAGGCAAAACTTACACCGTATAGGGTTCACTCCATATCTCACACCAAATGTTTCATTACATAAGTTACATCACCTAGCTTAGATCGCATAGCTTTCACTTCCGCAGTGTAACAACTCACCGTTTGGGCATCAAGCTGATGATGGCCATGCATTGTTTCGTTTGGACCTCCGGACACTTCAGGGGACCTTCAAGGACCTCCCGAAACCTCCCAGGGCTTCTGGAGGAGGCCTGCATTGCAGATTCCAGTTTCAGAGCGCTTTGAGTGCGCTTTCTGGGGGAGAGAAGCAGAGGGGAAGTTCATCGTTTAAGTTGTCCCGAGCAACGTTTGCGTGTTCCTGAATGATTGCAATCGTGCTGCACTGCTGCACCATCATTGCTTCTGTCAAGGCTGGCCGCTTCACTATGAGCTTGCCCGATGCCTACTGGACTGGAGACCAGGACGCCGGCTTTGCATCATGACGCCGACACGTGATTCGCAGCAGTTTCATTCATGAAATAACACCTTACTGCAGTGCCGCATGATGACAGTGCGGGGGGGGATCGTGCGTAATGTGCCCCGTACGACCCATAGCAGCAGACCAATTGGATCGACGAGAGCATGGATCAGTGGCACGAGATGGGGAAGATGTGAGGAGGGCAGCTTCAGGATATGGAAACACGTTCCATAGATGCCGAGAGTGTTCCGCAGCGCTCGGGAACGGGATTCTGGTACTCGATGCCATCGCCCAGATCTGACGGCTCTCGCCCTCTCCGTTGCCGATTGGATCGGATCTGGCATCAACTTTCGAGGCGAGGGCTCGGTGAAATAGGAGAGGCGACGGTGATCGCTTTCGTATTCACTGTTTTGCCGAGCGGCGCGGGCCTTCGCACCGCCCCCCCCTCCCCCCCCTCCTCCTGGCGTGGATCTTGGCTCTTCCCGACCATCCTGCGGTGTTGGGTCCTCGTTTTGAAGAAACGGTCCCCGCGCCTCCTCCTCCTCCCGTGCCCCCCCCCCCCCCCAGTGGCGTGTACCACATGCGTCCGCCGCACCCACTACGGCGCTTTGTGGCCCCATAGGGAGCGCCACCCAAGGCCCCAGTGGGTTGCACCACATGCGTCCGCCACACCCAGTACGGCGCTTCGTGGCCCCACAGGGAGCTCCACGGAAGCCCCCAGTGGGGTGTACACATGCGCCCGCCACACCCACTACGTCGTTTCGTGGCCCCATCGGGAACTCCACCGAAGGCCCCCGTCCGCCACACCCAGTAGAACGGTTCGAGGCCCCATAGGGAGCTCCACCCAAGGCCCCAGTGGGGGTGTCCACATGCGTCCGCCATTCCCAGTAAAGCGTTTCGTGGCCCCATCGGGAACTCCACCGAACCCCAGTGGGGGTGGCCACATGCGTCCGCCACACCCAGTAAAGCGCTTCGTGGCCCCATAGGGAGCTCCACCCAAGGCACCACTGGGGGTGTCCATGTGCGTCCGCCACACCCAGTAAAGCGTTTCGTGGCCCCATAGGGAGGGAACCCCACCGAAGGCCCCAGTGGGGGCGGCCACTTGCGTCCGCCACACCCAGTACGGCGCTTCGTGGCCCCATAGGGAGTTCCACTTGAGGCCCCAGTGGGGGGTGGCCACATGCGTCCGCCACACCCAGTACAGCGTTTCGTGGCCAGTCGGGCCGTCCGCGTGCGTCCCGCACACCCAATTTGGCATTTTCACCTACCCAGTACAGCGCCTCGTGGCCCCATATGGAGCCCCACGCAAGCCCCCAATGGGACCGCCCGCGTGTGCCCCGCACGCGCAATTTCACACTGTCACTCACCCAGTACAGCGTTTCGTGGCCCCACTGGGGAGCTCCACCGAAGCCCCCAGTGGGACCGCCTGCATGCGTGCCACACACCCAGTTTGACATTTCCACCCACCCAGTACAGGATTTCGTGGCCCCATAGGAAGCTCCACCGCAGCCCCCAGTCGGACTGTCCGCATGCGGCCCGCGCACCCAATTTGGCGCTTTCACCCACCCAGTATAGCGCTTCGTGGCCCCATGTGGAGCTCCACCGGAACCCCCAGTGGGACCGTCCGCATGCGTCCCGGAAACCCAACTTGACATTTTCACCCACCCAGTACAGCGTTCTGTGGCCCCATAAGGAGCGCCACCGAAGCCCCCAGTGGGACCGTCCGCATGCGCCCCAGAAACCCCATTTGGCATGTTCGCCCACCCAGTACAGCGTCTCGTGGCCGCATATGGGAGCTCCACCGAAGCCCCCAGTGGGACCGTCGCAGGTTGTGCAAATGAATCCGCTCGGATGCCGGACCCCCCTGGAGCCACTGGTGGCGAGGTGGCTGCGCAGCCTGGTGGCCGACGATCGTGCTGCTCCCCGCAGGGCGGCGCTGCTGCCCAGCTCCGCTACATGGAGCATCGCTGGCGGGCGCTGCGGCAGCGGCCCATTCCGGCGATTCCTCACCTCGAGCAGTGGCTCGTCGAGCTGGATTCTTTACCTCCGTTCCCGGATAGGGCGCCCTGGACGGCCGACCTGGTCCAGGGGATTCCCCAGGGAGTGGCGAAAAACACGGCGCCCGGCCAGGACGCGTGGGCAGTCGCAGAGCTCCGCCTCTTGCCCAACGAGCTGTTCGACTGGATCGCGAGGCCCTGCGGATCACCTGGGCGTGCGAGGCAGACGTGGATTGGCGGCTGCATGAGGTCAAGAGCAAACAGTTTGCAAACTTGGCCTCGGTGCGGCGGTGGCTCCTGCGAGAGATGTCATCCATCGCCGCTGGGATTGAAATCCGCGAATTCGGCGTCGTCGCGGTCGCCGGCAAGCGGCGCAAGCACCTTGTGGACGCGGCGCGGGTGCAGGTGGCCCGCGGTCGCTTCGCGCGCCTCCGCCGCCTGCCAGTGCCCTTCCGCTGGCGGTGTCTGATGGGGGCGGCCGTCGGCGCGGGCACTCATGGCTCTTCGTGCGGTCACCCTGCTGCTGGCTATGAGCCCCGGCGTGCCACCGGTCATGAGCCCCGGCGTGCCAGCAGGTCTGCCACGAGCCCCGGACTGCCGCCGAGATTAATTTCGGCGCGCCCGGCCCCACTTGGCGCCTGGACGCCAAGGCGGCTGTCGCCGCCGCGCCGCTGCTGCAGGCTGCGCGGGCGCTCCGGGCCGGCCAGCTCGACCTCGCCACGCGGTGCAGCACGGCCGACGCAGTCCATGCTGCAGCGGGGCGCGCCGTCGGGCCGGTGGCCGCCGCCTTGCGCAGCCTCCGCGAGCTGGGCCTGGGCGGGGACAGGGGGCGCCGGGTCGGCGTGCTGGCGGCGCCGAACGGCTGGCGCCCAGCAGCGCGGGCGCGGTGGTCCACCGAGCGCGTGGTCTTGGCGGCGCGGCACCGTGCAGGGCGCCGCAAGGTCACCTCGCTTCGGCCGTGATTTGCCCGCGCGGCCAGCAGCGCGGACAGGCGGGCGACTCGCCGCCTGCTTGCCGCCGGCGCCCGCGCGCCTGAAGCCGTTAGCCCAGCGCGCGGCGCTGCGTGCGCTGCGCAGGCCATTGCCGCGAAGTGGAATGGCCAGGCTGGCAGTTGCCCGCGCTGTGGGCTGGACACTGAGGACCTCGAGCACCGCCTCTGTTTGCAACCAGCGCGGGAAGGCCCGCGCCGCGCCGCGCTCGCCGCAGCACCGCGAACGGAACCGCCTCCCAGGGGCGCCGGGGCCTTGCGGCAGCTGCTGCCCGCCGGGGTCGCCTCGGCCAGTGCGCTCGCGCCGCAGCCGCTGATCGCGGCCCTCGCTGAGGCTGCTGGCAGCGAGGGCCCGCAGCTCCCGCCCCAAGCCGCGCTGCGCCCTGAGGCGCGCCGCCGCGCGGATCGGAGCGACGGCGCCTGCGTCCATACGACCGACCCGCTCCTGGCTCGGGCGGCGCGGGGCTGGCGGTGTGCGGAGCTCGATTCCGCGAATCTCGCTGGGCCAGTTGACGGCTTGCAGACTGCGCAGCGCGCAGAGGTGACAGCTGCCGCGGCGGCGTCGCGGGTCGTCGGCGGCCCCGCCGACCTGACATCGGACAGCCAGCACGTTGCGAGGTCCTGCGCGCAGATCGCAGGTGGCTCCGACTTGCGGGACTGGGAGCACGCAAACTTGTGGCTACAGTTGGTGGACACCGTGCGCAACTGGCGCCTGCGGGCCCGGCGGGTGCCAGCGCGCAAAACGCCGGCGCAGGCGCGGCGCCTTGGGGTCAGCGAGCGCGACCGCCTCGGCAACGCCCTAGCCGATGGCAGCGCTGGCGCCGCCGCTGCGCAGCGGGCTTTGCCGAGCGACGCGGCGCGCGCCCGCCGCAGGGAACTGGAGCTGTTGGAAGCGGCAGGCAGCGGGTGCAAGCGCCTGCCCAGCAAGCAGCCCTGGCCGCGGCGCCTGCCCCCCGGCGCCGCCGCCGGCGCGTCTGGCGCGCAGTCTGGCGAGGGGCCCGCGCGCCCGCGGCCCCGCTTGCAGCTCGGCCACGTCGGGGCGCCAGCGGCGAGCCGGCGCCGGCGCCGCGCTTGCCGAGTTTTTTGCGGGCCGTTCATGGTGGCACCACTCATTCGCGCAAGGGCCCGCTCAGGGCAGCTGCCTGCGCTGCGGCGGCAGCGCGGAGACCTCGGTCGCGACGCTGGCCAGTGCTTGCCTGGGATGGCGAGATCGCTCGCCGTCGCGCGGACGGGCTTCGCTGTTCTTGGGGGGCCCGCGCTGCGGCGGCGGCAGAGCGGCTGGCCTCTCAGGGCTGGCTGCGCGCCGCATCGCGCGACTCCCCGAGGTCCCCGACTTGGGGGTTGCGCGCGGGGCGTCGGCGGCGATCTCGCCCGTCGCCCGCGTGGCCCGTCAAAGAAAAATAGCCCGACGAAGGACCCAACCATATGCAGGTATGAGTACCGCAAGTGCGATTCAATTTTTCAGCGGCGATCCCTATGAGGCAACAAACCGCGCTAGGGGCGCGCCGAAATGAGTAGCGTGGCACACAGCGCGAGCGAAAACGATTGATCTGAGTACGTAGGGAGACTGAGCGGGGGTGAATCTGAGCGCGAGTGAGTCTGACTGTGAATGAATCTGCGTGCGAGCGAGTCTACGTGCATGAATGCGAGCATGACACAGCATGGTGTAATTGTATATGAATGTCAATCGTTTGAGAATGACTGCCTCTGAGTACTCGCGACGCTGGGCGCGGCCGCCGCAAGGAGCTGCCCCGGGGCTCCCCGACGGCATCGCCCGCGCGCCGCGACGCCAATGTCGGCGCGCCCCCCCTCGAGGATCGCGCCCGCTTCCTCCCCTTCTTTTGCCCCCTCTTCGCCCGCGCACTCAAAAGTCCAGGGCTGCGGGCGCGGCGCAGCGCGAAGTCCCCACGACGCGCGCAGGTCGCCCCCGAGGGGTCCCAGCGACGCGCGCGGGTCGTCCGCTGCGCGGAGCAAAGGGAGCTAGCTGGCTGGCTGATAGCGGGCCAGGCTCTTGCCGCT